CACACGCATGCCCTGGCTCAGGCCTGGAGAGAAACAGTGTGGCTGGCTGTCAGAGGCTGGTGCTGGGAGYGTCCAGCCAGGCACYGAGCTGCCCAGGCCGTCCACCTGGCACTCAGAAATGGAGAATGGTCCCTGGAGGTGGATAGCAGACACATCTGGTCTCAAGGTGTCACTGGAACCTGTCTCCCTAACGGGRAAACTGCCCTGCCCCCTCTTCACCCCGCAGACAGCACTCTTCTGTAGTCTAGGAAGTCACAAGTGGGGCTGTGACGACTGCATCRTTAAGTGGACCCGGAGTTCATGTATTTTAACTTTACTGACAATAATTAATTTCTATCCTTTTATAAATTCTTTTCTAAAGTCTGAAGCAGGTAAAAATGAGAAAAGGCACATTTCAGTCAGAGCAAGAGCAGAGGTGCGACCCTCCATTCTCTGTCCCCCTGGCTGGACTCCAGGACTTGGCCTGCAGGCCTCTCACACACCCATGGAGTGTCTGCTTAGGGAAGGGCACCCACTATATCCAACGACCCTGGGCAGGTCCCTCCCACAGCGAGTTCTGAGCCTAGCATGGCAGGTTCCTGAGCACAGAGGTGTTCTGGCCACTAGCCACACACCCACAACTGCCTCCCCTGGCCACCCCTGCTCCCAAGGCTGAGCTGCAGATGGCTGCAGAGCCCACTGCCACCTCTTCCCTCTCAGCCACAGGCTCTAACCACAGAGGTGGAAGGCTGTGGGGGCCACAGGTGACCGTGCCGGGCCAGGCGCAGGACACTCTGCATCCTATTGACCCGCCCTGTGTCTGTACCCCTAAACTAGGAAGAATGGTTTTCACTTCCACAAGAATGCTCTCCCCCATTTTTCTGGAAACCAGTGGTCTTTTCTATTTTAAGCTTTTACCCTGTGGCTGAGGCCTAGGTGCCACCGAGTATTTTCTTAAAAACATGACGATTACACTAGTGACAGTGACAGTCCCCCAGCTCTGAGGATCCACAGAGAGCAACAGGGTACAGCCACGGGCAAGCAGAGGCCACCGAGAAGCGGAGAAGATGCCAATTCCGATTTTTATGTCACATCTCCAACAATTTTTTAAAAAGTTGATTCTGGTTTTGTCAGAATTCTCTGGGGGGCAAAGGACACACACTGACCACATTCCAGGCCATTCTGCAGCTCCCGCAGGGGCCGTCYTTGGGTGTCTACCTGCCCCCTGCAGGGCACTTTGGATCTGAGGAACAAAAGTTTCTACATCAACAGAGGGAACAACCACAAAGTCCTGGTCCTCCTGTCCAACAGCCCGGGGGACAGAAGAAATGTCCTTCAACCAAATTCAGGGCCAGGATCCACTGTCCTCAGGTTTCCCTGGAACACATRTGTMAGAGACGCTGGGRGTGAAGGCCGAGTGGCCCTGGGGGACACAGATGCCCTCTCTGTTCCTTCCTTTCACACATGGATAGAGACACAATGAAGGGACCAGGGCAGGAGGTGCCCGTCAAGAAAGCAGGGGCTGTGAGTCCAGGGCAGAGTGTCTGCTCTGTGGCAACTGCGTGGTCCCTGTGGAGCCGAGCCATGCTGGGCACCCCTACAGGAAGGGCCCACAGAGAGCCGCTGACTCTCCCCAGCACCAAGGACCCTCAGGGCGACTGAGGTCTATTTTATCAACRTTTCCTTTTGGTCAAAGTGGGAAGCCCATTAATGAGAAGGGGGTAGTGAGGTTTCTGCAACCAGTTTTAAACAAATATGGTTTTTACCTATGTGCTCACGAGAACTCACAAGGGCCAAAGCCCCCAGATATGAGGTGTTCACTGCAAGGCAATGATGAGCCGGTCCCCACGGAGAGGCCTGCAGGGGCGCCCTGCACCCACAGGCTGCCTGYCAGCAGGGCCCTGGAGCCACCTGCTCCACAGGCCTCGGGGGAGGAAAGCCTGGGACTTAGAAGCCCACTGACAGGGAGGGCTGCAGCAGCTCCCAGGGCTGTGGACAGAGCACACTGCACACACCCACGTCCTCACCAGTCACCTGCCCCAAGGGGCACAGAATGGCATACCCGAGGRGCAGCCTGGGAGGCCCGCCCACATGTGGTCAGTGGGAGCAGAGCCCTTCCTGCCTTGCTGTGACAGCCCAGCCATGCCCCTGCCCAGCTCCTGCTAGCTCCTCCAGGGAGGGTGGTGGACACGGGCTAGCACTTTGGGGTGCCAAGAAAGCAACCTGGAAGGGCAACTTGAAAACTGCCAACCAGGCCTGGGCACCAGGGTAGAGGAGGCAACAGGTGTCGGGCCAGTCCCAGATACTTCCTGACATACAGCCCACCCACAAGCTCAAGTGGCTGGCAAGATCCCCAGCGTCCCCTAGGAAGACAAGGGCGGGTGGACCCTGCAAGGATGATGGGGGAGGTGTCCTCTGGGCTCTGGTGGGTGTTTGGGGAGTGCCTGGACCAACAGAGGCAAGTGGCAATCATTCCCAAGGCAGGGCCCCAGCTCAGCCCTCCGCTGTACGCCCTTGTCCACCAGCATGGCGCCTGGGCCACCTGAGGGGCAGACACAGCACTCTTCATTTCAGGGGCCCCTTGGTTGGGGCCTCCCTGGCCACTGCAGAATACTTAGATCTTCCCTGTAGAACCGCAATCCCCAGTTGTGACCACGTGGCCTAGCATTACTGTCCAATGTCCCTAGGGAGGTGAAACTGCCCCTGGTTGAGAATCACTRGTGTGAACTAACCAACTGCTGTCCTGATACTGGAGGAAGGGTCCTGGCCATTCTTAAAAATAACCAGGGAGAAATAGGCAGTTAGGGGACAGGAGGCCTGGAGGGGGAGGGCTCGCCTCCTCTGGGAGAGGGCTTCTGTGAGGGACTGTCAGGGGCAGAGGGACAGGGACTCGGGTATGTACAGGACAGAGGAGGGTTTGCTTCTCCCTAGTGGGCGCTCTTCCCTTTGGTGGAACCCTAAGCCAGGCTGACAGTCCCAGCCAGGACACAGAGCTGAGGTTGGGAACCCACGCACCCTGGTCACGGTTGAAATGCACCTCAGTTTTATGAGGCGCTAAGCGGAACCCCCTGCCAGGATATGAGGGGACCCACTATTGCAATTCATTGAGAGGGAATATACCAGCCTTGAGGGCAGCACCCAGCTCTGGGTCACGCAGAGAAAGGGAAGGAGAGCGCGGTGCTCAGGAATCAAAGGCCTTGCTGTGTGGGCTGCCCCTGCACGGGCCCAGCTCTGTGCCCGAACCCAGCTCCCGGGGCACAGCTTCCAGATGCCTGCTGACAGGATGGAGCTCCAGGATGCAGACTTCTGGGGACACCATTCACTAGCTAGTGACTGACTTCACTCGCTGCCCAGTGGACAGACTGGAAGACCCCAAAAGTCACTGAATCACCTTTCTAGTTTCCAGAGAGGGGGGCCCTGCTGGTCAGCCAGCCAGTGTCCCCTGCCCCAGGGGCCCATGAGTTTTGGAGAGGGCTTCGTGGGAACACAGCTCCAAAGAAACAGAAGACCCTTTCCAAGCAAAAACACGTTGGAGTTCTGCTGCCTGCCTTTTAAAAACTGGCCTCCTGTTTGCTGCTGGTGGTCAGTGTGTGGGGGACAGCTGTAGTACAGCCACCACCTGGCTGACATTCACAGATCACCTGGCTGATCTTTCTGTGGTTCTCAAATCGCTGTTGTGATGAGATTCTCTTCCTGCTCCCTCTAGACTCAGGAGCATTGTGTGTATTTTATGCTCAGAACAAATTGGTTCTCTTCTTTGGATAACACAGCAGTCCTGGGGCACTCAGTGAGTGCAGATGGCACAGTCCTGTAGAACAAGCTCCTGGGAACCACCTTGGTGTGAGGAAGCAACCAAACAGGGCTGGAGGGGCCTGGGGTGGGCGAGGCTGGAGACCAGGAAGACTAAGGGGGAGCAGGTGAGGTTTCAGGAGGCGGGGCAGGGGCTGTTAGGAATGAATGCCAWCTCTGCCCATCTCTGCCCATCCAGTGGCAATGGAGGTGGGAGGGTGAACCAGTGGTACCCACCTCTGCCCTCTACCTGACCTGGCACATAGGCACACCTTACCTCCACCCATGGGGACGGCCAAGCCATCGGCTCCTGGGTGACTCTGTGGCCCCAATGAAGCAGGATCCTGCAGTCCCAAGGGGCCCCAGATGTCACTCCACAATACTTAATGGGACAGCTGTACCTCACACCCCCAACAGACTCCCTAAGTCACCATAGGAGGCAGTTACCATATGGCCCTAAAACCTACCTCCCGTCTCAGAAAACAACAGAGGCTGAGTACCTCGGGGATTCCGCCTCCTGCACCCACCAAGACTCCACACTGGTCTACATTCTCCATCCCCAAGCCTCTCGCTGAGAGCCGTTGGGATCACAAACTGTGAAACAGGCCCAGCATGGAAAGCTCTAGAGCTCCTGGTCTCCCAGGTCTGTCCACAGAGCAGGTGAGCTGGACATTACTGCTTTACCAGGGGAGGAAGGTTCCCAGGGCAAGGAAACTTTAATTAGGGCTCGAACCCTAATTACAGCCGAGCTCACCTGGCTGCTTGTGAGCAGCACATCACCCTCACCTGAGCTGGCACCTGCTCTCCACCGCCACACCTGTCTCCTCCACTGACCCACGCCCAAGCCTCACTGGCACATCTTGTGACACAGGAGCATCTCCCGGGCCAAGTTGAAGAACAGATCTCAACCGAACTACCCAAATCTAATGCTGAGGGAGAGCAGCGCCCCCTGCAGGGCTCCCAGGGGATGCAGGGTTCAAGAGCTGGCTGKGCGAGCCTGTGCCACAGACGGCTTCCAGGCAGTGGGCAGCCTGGGAGGGACCAGAGTGGGTTTCCGGGGGACTGTCAAGTCTCTTTGTGAAATGGGTGCTGAACACTTAGGATGTACGTGCTTTTCCCTACGTCCTCAACTTCCCCGAACCACAGCGGCTGATGTGAAAGGCTGACCCACTTGACTTCTGGAGCCCAAGAAGGTCCCAGCGGCACCCTGGGGCAGCCCAGGCCACACTCACCGGCTGCAGCCCGTCCTCCTGCCTCCTGCTCTGGCTCGGGCGGTTGATGAAGGACCGCGTGGAGACCTTGTAGTGATTCAGCAGGCAGACGATGACCACGACCATCACCGTGACCACCACGACGATGATGATGATCTGGGCGAACTCCAGCTCCGCTGCGGGAGAAGAGGACAGTGTGAGCCTCCACCCTGCAGGGGACCTGGCCTGGGCAGTTAGCACAGCCAGGCGGCGAGGGCCCCGTATGACCACAGCAGACAAAAACCACGACCCCACTCGAAGAAGAAGAAAATGAGCGCAATGGCCAAGCTGGCGCATGACTGGGCTGCAGGTCACACCTGGGGCAGGGGGAACACTGAAGCCTGAGCTTCAGCTACACCAAGGTCAGGTGCAGGCCCACTGCCCAAGATCACCTCCAGACTGGCTTCCTTGTCTTGAGGATACCCTGAGACGGGGCTCTTTCCAGCGGCCCAAGTTGCTGCCAAACACTGTTCTCGGACTTTGCCTTTGCAATCTCATGAGGGGCCCTTAACAAAGTTGTCCTGTTGGCTCCAGAGCTGCTGCTGCTGACTGCCCTGTGGTCAGGGGAGAGTCCACAGCCAGCCCAAGAGCTTGCCATGGCAGGCTGCATGGCCACCCCCTGGTGCTGAGCAGTCACCTGTCCACCCACCTGCCCTTGGAAGCTGAAGCCCAGGCTCCAGTCATCTACACCCCCATCCTGCCAGATGACATCCTCCACCTTCCTCTAAGAGCCAGGCCAGTGCTGCGTGCACCCCAGCAAAGAGCTGGGAGCCGAGAGCTGCAGACGCACTGCATGGGGAGCCGCTGAGGCCCGGGACACAGGCCAGGGCACCCTCGCTGCCAGTGAAAGGCCACAAGGAGTTCAGCTCTTTCCGCTGGACTCCAGGAGGCCAGGAGGCAATGCCCAGAGTGGCTCTGGGGACCRGCGGCCAATGCCCAGGGCCAGGATCCTCACCCCCCTGAGGGCCTGCCTTGGCTCTGGACCACCCCTGAAGCCTGGTGCAGAGATCAGCCCCGGAGCCTGCCCAAGTGCTCTTTCCTATAGGGAAGAAGCTCCCCGATTTATGTCCCCCTGAAGGTCCAGGGTTCACTAGAAATTTTCATGGTGGGCACCTTCTGGAAAAGACCGAGATTGCCTGCAGAGAGCAGGGCTGGGGACCACTGCTGCTGGGGTCCACATGTCAAGGGACTCTATGCCTACAGGTTGCGGGAACARTGACATGTTTGCTGACTTAGACGCACTGTGTCCAGGACTCCTGTCCTTGGCACATGCCTTCCCAGGTCTGGGACGCCTGGCCTTGACCCTGTGTCTCTCAGGACCCCACTCCCATGCTCCACATGACTCCCCAGCCGCCTGTCTGCACCCCCTTCACCTCTTCTGACACAAGGCACAGCTTCCTGTGTTTTCTGCCTGCTTTTTGTGAAAGTGTGACAACGAGCTCCTGTTACTGACTCTGTGCTCCTGGTGTCTGGCACCTGGTGGCACCTGGCAGTGGCTCTGAAGTGAGGTTGACTGATCAATGACCAGAGCACACCTGGGCCCAGAGCAGGAGCTCGGGCATGTGGCCTGGGGTGGGCTTCCCCGAGGACAGCCACCACCGATGGACAGAGAGCTACACTGGCCACACAGGACAACAAAGGTACCTTAGAGGAGCCCTGGGGTCTACGTCAAGGGCCGGCCTCCAACCTGTGGGTGGTGGCACCAGCAATGAGCTAGTTATGAGGCAGGGTGCTCACACTGATCAGGCCAGAGCCATGGACACGGGGACAGATGGAACCCCAACCACATCTGGTTTAAGAGCTCCTCATCGACCGGTAAGTAGCAGGAGATTCACAAGCTGCCTTTCAGGGTAAAGCGTGCCCCAGGGTCACARGGGGTCTCTTTTCTCAAGATAGTTTCACTACTCTGTGGACACAGAGGGAGGGGAATGTGAGGGTGACCGCAAGGGGTCCCACACACAGGCCTCAGGGTCAACACTGTACCCAGAGGACATCTTCCTAGGCCATCTTTCCTTGAACACGGAAAGCTATGCAGAGCAGATCACAAATTTCGTTTCCTTAATTCTATGAGCATTACTTGTCTAATTGTGTCTCCTGTGAAAAGGATTTTTGTTATAAAAATAACCAAACGTCTTGCAAATTCAAACAATATGGAGTACACACTACTGAATCCGGCGCCTGCCCTGTCCACCGAGCTGGAATGGACAGGGACCTCACTACCTACTAGGCTAGTATCCACCACTGACACGCCCCAGCCCTGGCTGCTGCTTTTTAATTACTGGGATCGATGTGCAATGTATTGCTCTGTTTTTTCCACTTAATCTATCACAGACGTCTCTAAACAAGAACACAGGTAAATCAACCTTGTTCTTGAAGGACGTCGTCCATTGCAGAACACACATCCATGCGAGTTATACTCTCCAGCTGGCCGCTGCTTAGGGGTCTGCTGTTTTTCCTTCTTCTTATGACCAGAAGAAGAGTGTGCATGTGTGGGTGTGCACATGTGTGTGATTGTATGCATTTGTCAATATGCCCACAGAAAGATTCCTTATAAGTGGAATTTCGCCAGGCAGGATAGCATAGGGCTGTAATCCCAGCAACTTGGGAGGCTGAGACAAGAGGATCACATTTGAGGCCAGGCTCAGCAACTTAGACCCTATCTCAAAATAAAATTAAAAAGGGCTGGGGATGTAGATCAGTGGTAGATGGTAGAGCACCCCTGGGTTCAATCCCCAGTACCAACACACACACACACACACACACACACACACACACACACGAATTTTATCTTAAATTTCATCACGGTTTGTCCGGTGGCTTCTGAAAACCTCCGTATGCAAAGGCTACACTGGGTAACTGCAGGAAGAGGGCATGTTCCCACGCCCTTGTCATCGCCGGAGACTTGCCCTTTTAATTTATACCAATCTGACAGAAAAAAAATACRTACCTTGTTTCAATTTGTATCTCCCCAATTACCAGTAATTTCTGATCTTTTCCTATGGTTATGGTAATTTGTCTTTTCCTTTCTCATAATCATATTCGTCCGTGTTAGTTTTACTTGCACTTGACATAAATTGTCATGACATTGAATATTTTCTGTCTTTTTCCTTTATGGCTTCTAAGCTTCCTGTTTGAAGTTGTCTTCAATATTCTAAAACTATGTTTTCTTCTAGGACTTCTGTAGTTTGTATTTTTATATTTAAATCTTTATTTGCTCTGAATTTTACTCTTCTTTTGGTTGAAGACAGCCCAGAACATTCTGTATGTCTGGGAGATCATCTATTATTTTAAAACTCAAGTGAGGGGGAGAGAGATCTCGGTTGTGTGAAACCGTATGTAGACTTACTCTCTCTACAGACCATCTTTCTTTCAGAGTGGACAGCTCTTTCTTAGGTTGAGAGTCYCCAACTTTCTCACACACCCAACGCACTGGCGGAACTGGCCCTGCTGGGCTGAGATGCGGTGGTATCTGAGCCGCGGCCCTGGGGCATCATGCACGAGGATGCCACAGCAGCTGCAGCCGTGGCACACAGGATATTCAGCAACCTTGCGGTTCACAGGCTCTACTGGGTGAGGACCAGGCCACAGGTATGCTCAGAGGCTTATGGAAGCAGAAATAAGGTCCCCAGAGGTCCCTGTGCCCAAGGCAAGTGGCCCAGCTGGCACCCTGGGGAGATAGTCAAGCCTGAGCTACCGCARCACTCGGCCCAGATGTGAGAGGCGCCTCTTCCTGCAGACAAGAGGACCCCGGGGGTGTCCGGTGCCCAAGGCTTCCGTCCTAAACCACTGAGCATAGCAGCAGCAGGCTGGGTCCCTGTGGTACTCCTCGCGTCCATCCTGCTGGTGTGGGATGGCCTCTCCCTGCACCCCTGCAGGCCCACCAGGGTYGTGAGTGGCCGCCACACATCTTCCTGCTCACTCTACACGGGAAAATTCTAAGGGYCTCAGCGGGCAGGGACGTGGTAGGGTGGGGACGTGTGTGGGGACATGGAGAGGAGAGATGCCGGTGGGTTTGGTTTGGGTTCTGGAGGGTGGGCTGGGTAAGGAGGTGGCGAAGAGGATGAATTCTGTTAAGACATGTTTCCTAGCCCACAGGAATAGTAGGATCCTAAGAAAATAACAGGATGCTTTGGGATTTCCAAAACTTCATGTGCAGGAATAGTAGGATCCTAAGAAAATAACAGGATGCTTTGGGATTTCCAAAACTTCATGTGCTAGTGTGGATTCTGAACACACCCCACCGGTCCCGTTTTCCTTGCCTTCAGTAGCTACAGGTGTCAACAGAAGAACATCACAGAACAGGCCAAAGTCAGGTTGCCATGTCCCTCCTCCCCTTGTGGGGTCAGAGTTCACGGTGCCATAACGGGTGAGTCACTGCCATTCAAACACAGACACTGCATGACGAATCTGGTCCAAAGCTTACAGGAAGTCACYGAGGCACCTGATTTTATTACTGTAAAGCAGTGACGGTGACGGCAGTGATGATGGCAGTCCTGTTTTTATAGAAACATCTCCAAGAAATCCCAAGCTGCACAGGGGAGAGTTACAGGAAGAGAAGAAGGTGTGAGGAGGCTGCGGGTCTAGTCCCCGGTTCAGTGGGAACCAGCTGAATCATACTAGAGGCATGAGCGTCCCTACTATTTTTACAGGAGTCTGGGGCAGGGTGGTTGTACCACCTCAGATCCCAATATAGCACCCGTTTCCACTGTGGGGCGCCTGGCACCACCTGCAGCTGGGTCCTCCCCCATTCACACGGCCGTCTCTGGGGGCGCCCCGGTTTTTGAATGCTTCATTATTCCTCAGCTCCAGATGTGTTATGCGTGCCCAGGGGAGCCTGGGTCCCTCATCCGTCCTTCCTTCCAGCAGGCCAAGTAAACACCTTCGCRGCATTTGGAAAAGTTTCAACACAGAACATAGTTGTGTCACCAGTGGGGCTGGCCACTGGCCACTGGTCCCCCTCCCAGGATTACCAACAACACCCCCTGCCAAAGAGCTGCAGTCCCCTGGGAGGACAGAGGCTGTGGCTAGYATGTCATCCCCCGGGGAGCCCCTGCCACACAAGCTCTCCTACCCCCACTCAGGCCTCGCAGCTGACCCACCCGCATCTGGCTGGCCTGCTCTGCTTCCTGCACAGTGA